CCAGAACCCTATTCTGATCGTCAACAACTTGGTTTAAGATTTCTTCATATTTCTTAACCAACCAACTGAGCCCTCAGCTACTGTCCAGTACCCCAAACAGGGGACATTTTAAATACCTAATGAGGAAAGAGGTTTAAGAGGCAATCAGGTAGAAAACAAAAGAGAATATTGATAAGTAGCTTCTCGCTCAGAAAGGATAACAAGATTGGATTCAACGCCTATTTACCCTGAATATTTAGAACAGCCTTGGCTAGCTAGCAGCATACTTGTTTTCAATACAGTAAAGGAATGACATTATGTGGGAGAAATATTTACCTTTATTTTCTCCTGGAGATGTGTGGAGGGGATAACCTCCTCTGCCAACCGCATCTGCATCCTTCCTCCCACCCACACAAGTTCCACCCTCAGTCAGTCTGCGCTGTCTGTCACCTGGGCCTCAAAGGCCTCTCCCTGGACCTCAGTCAGCTCCACCCTCGGCACCCCTTCCTAAGACAAGTGTGGCCAGAGCAGGCGAATCTGAATACTTGATAAACATTAAGGTACAGAACTGCAGACTGTTCCACTGCTTGGGATTCTGCTTTAAAGCATTGAGGATGGAGTCTGTGGGTGTCTTCAGAAAGCTCCCAAGTAGGTTCAGAAACCTGGGAAAACTTAATCTCTCAACACTCCCCAAATTTGCAATGTCTGCATGTAATAAACAGTAGATCGGCCACTGTGTTGTAGTAATCTCCCCTGCTTATTTTGGCTTATCTCATTTACAAATCAAACATAAAACTGACATTTTACTAAAACTGGGATTAAGGTTAGGCAGAATGAAATACAGGGTCCCTTCCACCCCACTTTATCTTAAACATCAGGAGACACTGTAGGGAAGCCAAAAGCCTTTGAACTTGAATGAATGCTTGCATGAAGAGAAGACTAAGTGCCTGAGAAAGACTCTAGTTTCCCGGGCTTTGAACACCTACGTGTTTCTGGGAAAACACATTTCTTCCAGTTAACGGAGCCAGGCTGTCATTTGTTATGAGAATGAGAACAGCCCAGGGGAAGGCTTTCAGCCTACTGTGTTCCCAGGAGAGGATTTCTGAGCACCCCCATCCCTGATTCCAACATTTCATGGATCAGAATTATGAAGAAATTTCTGGCAACTAGATGATTCTTAAATTGTCCCCAGAGGAGAAATGTTAAAATTGATAGCTAAAGTAGGTCAAACAAATAAGGACAGTTTACTAATTTGGGAAGGAGAAGGAGTAAATACACCAGCAGTTCCTCAGCAAGTTTTACTCTTAAACTTGCTTTTCCCTGATTTTGAAATTTCTGGGGGGAAAAAAGTCTTTAAAAATTAATTAGTAGTAAAGTAAAGCATAGCCTTTAATGCTCTGAAAGCCAGTCCAGTTCGTGATTGGGTGGCACACAGAAGAAAACATATGGCCCATGTCCATGACAAGGTGCTACATTTCTTAATTAAAAACCCATCAAGGAAGTCGAGGTACCAACTCAGGAGCAGATTGGCAAAGATTAGAAAATCTGCAATCCACTGAGGAAAAGACATTGGAGAGCAAGTACCGATCTCCACTTGCTAGGTTAGGGATGAATCTTTGGCAAGTAAATTTGGAAGGGCTATCAAAAAGTTTAATGCATATAAATCCTGATAGGAAAAGATATTCAAAGCCTAAAGAGCCGGAATATATGAGGTATGATCTTATTTGTTACAAGGAAAAGATGAGGCTGCCTTTATTTATATACTTGGGCATACATGAAGTTTTTCTAAGAATATACAAAAAACCACAAACACTGGTTTCAAACTACTGTCAACACTGAGTATTGGGGGGTGAGGAGGAAGAGAAGACTAACTTTTTGCCAGACCCCACAAATTACAGTTCTCAACCATTTAACATTTTTTAGAAAAATAAACAGTAAATGAATCCTCTTAGGAAATGATTTTAAATAAAAGTCATTTTACTAAGAGTGAAGAAATATTTTTTATCTTATAAAGCCTTTATAACTCACAAATGATGTCAGATCTACAGTGAGTTTTCAGGAAATTTATGTATAAGTAAACATAAATTCACAGTAAGAAACAAGAAGGTATGTATAACTTAATTACAGATTATTACTGCTTCCCCCCAATCCTTTTTAGGTGCACAGATGAACAGGAAACTGAAGGAAGATGGCAGGTAAGAAATCCTGCCCTTACGTTGTCTGATAAGGTACTAATTTGCAGGAAAAAAGCCCACATCTAAATCACTAAGTCAAATAACTGTAATTACAGATTTTTTCAAGAACTTATTAAAAATAAACTTACACATTTATACAATACAGTGCTTTTCCTTTCCAAATCCAGTTTTCATATATTTCCATTATGTTATTTGAAAATGAAATCTTTTAAACTATTTTTAGATTATACAAGAACTGAGATTTGGGCTCAAGGTCATTTAGTTTTGTTTTCTTCATGAGATAAAAAGGGCTGATACATTTGTTTCAGTACACCAAGCGCTGTGAATTCTAATTTCCCACACTTCATGGATGAATAGAGCACAGAATTCTAGAGGCCAAGGATAAGCACCATTTAGCTTGATTTCTTTCTTTGGTATTCTATGATACTGAATTTCTGTTAAAGCTGGTGATGAAAAAAAGAAAATTTCATAGTTCCTTTTAAAGCATTTTTTCCCATTTTATTCATTAAGCTTATTCATGTAACCAAACTAGAAAAATCCTTAAAATATCACTTTAAATCTGTCAAGACACAAATTAATTGACCAACATGAATTCAAAAGGATGTACATTTAAGGCCTGGTTCTCACAGAGAAGAATTTCAAGCAGAAAATCTCCAATGATCTCCCATCTACTAACCTAAAAGGCTATAATGGATCAAAGAGAAGGCGCCACAGACTATCTCTACCCTAAAAGACCATCTGCACCCACATCTCCAACTTTTGGGCTGTGGCTCTAATCAGAAAGTAGTAAGTACCTCTTATAATCTACAGAAAGTCCACAGGAATACAAGTAGCAATCAACACAATAATACCGATCTAGTAACAAACATAATTGTCTCCTAATCATCTTAAATGCTTGTCCTTTTAGTGTAAAAGTGGTGACATAATCGCAAATAAGGTCATTTTGTGCTCCATTTCCATTTTGTAAACAAAGAGAGCAAGTGGCAGACAGCATTTGTCCTCAGGCTGGGAGAGGAGTTACGGAGTGCAACGGGCCAACTCCTTTTAAGGCACAAACAGCAAAGACATCCTTAAATCCAATCAGATAATGGATCCCTCTATCTGAGAACATCTTTTCTAGGTCTTGGTGATTCACAGCTTTTAACCAAATGGAACCACAGCCTGAAGGATGAAGAGTCCGTTTCATACCGGCCAGCAGTGGCCTCACACTGTTGCAAACCACCACTGCTTCATTTCCAGCTCCAAGGCATTGATTGAGTGGAAAATACAGAAAGACTAATCTAGAGGATTATGATTATCCAGACTTAGCCTGGAGCTTGGTTCCAGAAGTCAAGATTTGCCAGTGGCACACAACTAAATTTGTCAGTAGTCACCCCACCCTGCACTGCCACCTGAATGAAACTCAAACACAATTTTTTTAAAAGGACAATTGAGGAATAAATCTGAGGCTTTTTTACCACCTGTGCTCAGGAAGTCTGTTATTCCTGGCCCTGCAGTGGCCAAAATGGCCACATCTCAAAATTAAACCTCGCAAATAACTGTTCAAGCCATTTTCCCCTAGAATTTAAAATAAAAAGATTGTAAAGATTGGAAGATAGGACTCCTTCCATCTTACTGAAATAAAATACATCCCAGATAAAACCAGGACTTCTGCCTCGGTGCAGGTGATAGGCTTGAGTAATCAAGTTTGTTTTAATCTCCATTTGACCTGATAATCCAATTAGTGTAATGTCTTTTGAGGTGTGGGCACTTAGTAACTGATAACTAAAATTAGCAGAAAAGGAAAGTAAACTGGATTGCTACATAAGTGGTATGCATATGATATAAATATCATTTAGATGGAAAAAAATCTGCTAACAGCCTGATTAATGATCAGCATTCTCGGGTGGGGTATTAGTCTAAACTTCGCCATTGTCCACAGATGCAATCAAGAAAGCTCAAGATGTAATTCATAACTAATTCAATGTATAAAGTGGTCTCACTTGGGCAATTTACATTTATACTACATGTGTCTATTTGAGATCAAAAACAATTTGAAATTACAATGCTAATATGCCTCTCTATTTCTAGAGAAACAGAAATGAAGAATCCCAAATCTGAATTTTTCGCCAAAAGCTTCACTTGTTCTGTTAATAACCAAGCAGACTGGATTTAGTCACTATCTGACACAGGATGCAGATCATAATGAGAAGGTCAAAGGTTAAATTGTAGTAAAAATAGTTGGGCCAAGGTATTCCCCAACTTGACAGTTTCCAGTGAAAATCAGGGAACTAATATAATCCTGCCAGGCAGCCACGTCACACGTGGGGGAACACCTGTAATGAGCCAAAATGGATGTGGTTCCTACCCTTACAGAGCATTCAGAACAGCCAGAACACTTACCGGTCATGTCACTAAACCACAAATGCACCAACTACTGGGAAGAAGGGTCCTGGTGGCAGGGGAGCCTAAGATGGGACTATTCAGATGTCAGGGAGCAGAGTTTAACAGGGCAAAGGAGGAAGGCAAGAGCTGTCTGTGTGCTGAGTCATTCTTAATTAAGGAGTCCTTTGAAAGGACAGCTCTGCAAAACCCCAGTAATAAATTTTTCTAGCTGAAATGAAAAACTACACATTTTCCAAGGTTACATGTAAGTGTATTGATTCATCTCCAAATTGATAACTGGGCAGTATGCCAGAAAGTTCAATGATATTCCAGACGTCACCTAAGTAAATTTTTAAAGGAGGTCGTTTGGCTCTTTCAGGATAGAAAAGGGAAAAGGCTGAGATTATGGAAGGATATAGAGAAGAGGAACAAGACACATCTTTAAATGAACAAATACAAGTTTATTAAAAAGAGGTTAAAAGTACAGCACTTCAGTGTGAATTATTAAGACCTGAGTGCAGTAAAAGGCAAGGAAAAACATGTCCCGGATTTCAAGCTTTTTTTTAAATTTTTTATGACTGGACTATAAGTGCTGGTTATGCAGCCATTTTGAAAGTAGTTGGCATCAAAAAGTGATGTACGGTTAAGTATAGGCCTCCAGAGGTCTATCTTGTACATTCCTTAGACTAAACACTTAACCACCTCTTCTAGGGACCACGGGTTTTCCATGTACTTCTAAGTTGAAGACTGAAGGCAAACTAGTTAAGGACAGTCTCTCTCAGACCAAACTAGACCAGGACAGCTCAAGAGATCACAGCAATGAGGTCACAGTTCTGTAGAATTTACCTAGATTTCCATTTATTTTTCACACTATAAACATCTATACATCCCGAGATAACTCTTACTAAAGGACCTCACAATACTCTATATCCTCAAATTCAACATATGGGCTTTTTTTTCAATATTAAATGTGGTTATCCACCACCTTGATGCCTTGCTGACGAATACACATGCTGGAAAATAGATCTAAAACCCAACAATGGGAACAAGTTGGTCTTGGCAGCTGCAGTGTCAAGAAAAAATATTTCAGCCTTGAAGACTAAAGACTATAAAATGCAAGATTTCTGGGAGGCTCAGCACTGCCTCCATAGTCCAGAGTACTGGGAAGGCTCGCTTCTGCCTCTGACAGCATCCTTGAAGAACTTCTAACTACTCCATAATTTGTTTACCCAACTGAGTCGATAGGCAGTGAAAAGGAAGACGCCTTGTCTGGGAGGCCTGTCATGCCTTTTGGAAATGTAGCGTCTGCCCAGGTTTCCTTTGACTCCGAGCGAGCTACACCCTCGACTTTCTCTGCATCACGAAGGCGGTGTCTGCTCGAGCCGTAGGCGTAGAACTGGGTACCAAACCAGGTCTCTCCAGGCACAGCTGGTACCACGGGCGCCACGCGGCGGGAAACCACGGGTTGCCGGTTCGCCTGGCTGCAACGCGAGTCATGGCCCAACAGCTGATTTTCCGCATCCGGAAGAAAGAGGGGCCCGGCGACCAGACGCTCGGCTGGGGGGCCAATTCCCCACCCACTGCCTTACGCACCTCTGCGCCTCGGGCTGGGTCGCTCTCACGAAGAGTGCGGCGAAAGGCTCACTGAGCGGTGGGCAGGGACGGATTTTATTACTGCGGATGGCGCAGTCGCCTCCCCTGACGCCCCGCGGCGAGGATGCAAACCCGCCGCGCTCTCGCTAGACCCTGAAACGCCTAGAAGGAGGGCTTCGCGCTCCGAGTTTGCAGATGGGCTGGACAGGCAGGGAAGTTCTCGCAGGCGGAAATCGGAGGGTCCCTCTCCCCCACCCCCGCCTCGCGCGTCCCCCGGCAGGTGGCCCGGCGCGCCCCTACCTTGGTCTGGGGGTCCGCGGCGGCGATGGCCGGGTCCCCCGGCGTGCCGGGCGCCGCCTCCGTCGCAGGGCCTACGGCGATGGGCTGGGGCTCGGCCGGCGTCCCGCTCCCCGCCTCCGGCTGCTCCGGGCTGCGCTGCTCGGTGGAGTTCCCCGCGCCCATGGCTGCTCTGCGCTTCTCCCGCGCCCAGCCGCCGGGTCACGTCTTCCCAAACCGCAGGGACGAGGGGCAGAGCGAGAACCGCGCCCCCGCGAGGTCCCGAGAGCGCCCTCCGCCCCCACGCTGCTTCTCCGAACGCGCCCGGACTGCGAATGAAGGAGACGCGCTCGCGGCAAACTCCTTAAAGAAAACACCTCTTTGCCGCCGCCTCCTCCTCCTCCCCCTTGTTTTCTCCCTCGCTCCATCACATGAGCGCAGCCCCGGACACGCCCTGCAGCAGCATCTCCCCCCAGGCTGCTAGGACCGGAGGCCGGGGCGCAGCCCCAGCCGCGAGCCGCGGTCCCGGCCGGCCACCCCCCCCCCGACCCCCGGGGCGCCTCCTGTTCAGAACTGGGGGCAAGAGGTGGAAACGATCCAAGCTTGCAGAAGGTGAAGGGAGAGCGAGAAAGAAGGAGGGCAAAAAGACCCCCGGGGAGATTGGATTAGCAGGCGTTTATTAAATGACTGTTACCCAAGGTAGGGCTCCTGCGGCAGCTGACTGTGAACTGGCCCAGAAGCGGGCCCAAATCCCCGTTTGCTCTCCTGCAGATTGCGTTTGCCTCTAAGCGTTCGTTCCTGCCTCCTTCCCATTAGCAGGAAAAAGGCAAACGCTCCTTGGCTCCTCCGGAGTCTGACCATATTAGGATACCTCACGTGGCGGGAGCAGGGAACCGAGAGGTTAACGCAGTCAGGCCATAGACGTTCCTATCATTCGAACAAGTGATGTCAGCCGGTGTCTTCGGCAACACTGGCTACCAGCCTTCCCTGGGGACTTTGGAAATTGAGACTCTTACTGTAAATGTGCCTGTCCTTTGATGGCCTGATGCTGGACCTTCAGGCCACTTCTCCCTCCCGCCATGCTGAAAACATGATGACATAGATCTGTTAATTTGCAATCAGTATTTTTCCATAGGTAAAGGCTTTAAATAATCAGAGGAGCTTGCTTTTTTTCCCTTCGTACTCTTGAATGTAATACTTGTTATAGGAATAGAGCAGGCAGTCAATAAATACTCAAGCTAAATTAAAATTTGAACTGAATTGTTTGGCACATAAGCATGAAGGTGGTATGACTGTAAGAAAAATTATTCCGGCTTTAACTGGCAACTAAATGCCTTAGTTTTCAGAATAATTGGAGTCATTGTTAGAAATGAAGAAAATTTTGGAATGTTGACAGATAATAGATAAATATTCCACACCCAAGTTTAGTACAATTTAGTAAAGAATTGATGTAAGCTGTGGTTCAGCACTAGGCTATTTTGTGCCTGATTAATTGCATGTATTAGAGTTGCAGACTTGGGAATTACAGGCTATGCATAAAATTTTTCTGAATTTATCATTTTTATCAGAAGGAGTACATACAGGCCACTTCCTCTGGAATGTATCCTTTAAGAAGCAAATTTGCAAAACAGCTGTTTTTCAGAATTCTGAAGCAATTTACCTACTTAGACTTAAATTTTGACTAGTAAATGTTAAGAGTACTTATTCTGTACCAGGCACTGTCCGAAGTGCATTGCACATATAATCACATTTAATCCTTACAACAACCCAATAACATGGATTCATTACTCTCACTGTGGGGAAAGTAGGCCCAGAGAAATTAAAAATCAGGTGCTCAACTTATGGGAAAAAACATGACTTTTAGGAAAAAGAAATGAGTCCTTAGAAGAGATGGAAGATTTGGTTGTGTTTTGACAGTATATGGTTAGGTGTGGCACGGAGACTTCTCATCTCAGGTGATAAGTCAGCCTTCTCTGGTTGCCCCTATAGTTGGGGAGATTCATGGTAATTGAATTCTTCTGAGTTCTTTTGGGAGGCTCTGTTTTTAGGCAGATAAGAAATTTCAGCAACTCATGCCCTTTGCTCAAAATAAGGTTTATGCTGCAGTTGTGAATTATAGACCCTTTCACCATCTCTGACCCATTATTTTGATGAGCTACTTATTAATGATTTCAGAATTTAAAAATTTAAAATAAAAAACAGCAGTAGACTCAAAGAGAAGTGACTGGGAGAGGACTTGGGAGGGTGAGCGAAATAGGTGAAGGGGATAAAGAGGGACAAAATCTCAATCATAAGATAAATTAGTCTTGGAGATGAAAGTACAGCATAGAGAATATAGTCAATAATTCTATAACATCTTTCTATGTTGGCAGGTAGTAACTACACTAGTTAGGGTGAACATTTAATAATCTGGAAAAACTATCCAATCATTTTGTTGTATGCTTGAAACTAATATAATATTGTATATATCAACTATACTTCAATTAAAAAAAATATGGTGCTCTAGGTTGCACAGCTGGTTAATGAGGAGCAAGGAGTCTTCCCAAACCAAGCCAGCACACACTTCACGCCTCTTCTGTAAGAAGCTTCGAGTATGTTCTCTCTTCTCAGGGATATTAGTGAAAAGCAGTGGTTAGACCTCACCTAGAATGTTAACAGCTAAAAACACTGTTAAGGCCTGTCTGAGAATGAGTAATGCCAGCCCATCTTACAATGTATCAGTAAGTAGTACAAATACTGTCAAAATGTCCCATTCTGTGAGATTATATTTATTCAATGCTTGGGAAATTCTTAACAAAACTTTTCACATGTCCTAGCCTTACATCTTCAGAAAAGATTGCAAGGTCAAAGATTTCAAGGGAGCACAACCCACATGCTAAGGAAGATATTGTCAGTGCCTGTCTAGATTAGCAACTACTTGCTTTATGTTTATTTTCCAGGCTATGAAAATGCTCATATTCTTATTTTTTAAAGAAAATCTTATTTTAAGAAATGTGCACATCCCAGTACTCCCTAATCCAGCTGAAACAGCTCCATGATAAGGAGGCATTAAGAATAACAGACTCTTTTGTAGATTCATACAAGCACACACGTAACTACCTTAGGTTTCTGAGCTGACCAAAGAATCTTTTCCATCTTAGTTGTAAACTGGAGAGTTATTCTTTGTTGGGTTATTTTTGTTAAGAAGAGTGGTCACGTTACTTGTTACCCCTAGCAAGGATGTCCCAGCCCTTTGGATATGCTACTTAGTGCTTCAGAACATTAAATTTCATTCACTCATTCATTCATTCATTTGTCACATACTCATCAGCTGCCTGTTACGTGCAAGCACAGAGTTACTACATATCTCACTCAAAGTTGTTAAGTCAAGTCATCAAGGTTTTCTTTTCTAGGATTCTGGAGACACCTTCCGAATTGCTTGGATTAAGGTCAGGGCCAGAAAGGAAGGCAGCTGTTCTCACTTTTCCACTTCTAAGGCTGTCAGTTACTCGGTTTCTCACCAGCAGCCTTTTCTCCGCCAACAGCAGGACGCAGGTGTCCTAGCGCATCTTCTCCCATGGGGCGCTTGGTGGTAGAGTCGTTTCCCTGAGAGAGTCAATGCTCTCATAAAAAACAGTTTTAAGATTTCTCAAAAACAAATAAACCATGCCGGTAGAACAGGCTAAGCTTGTATGTGTTATGCTTGCTTCTCTGGAAAGACAGGTCATAAGAAATTCACCCATAAAATTTAAAGTCATAGCTAGGACTCTTGTACATACACCAAAATATTTTCAGTTACATTTTAAATGAATTCACCAATGTGAAACGTTTTACAAATGAGTTAATACACTCCCTCAAAAGAGCTATAATAAGTACAATGATTAAAACAGAATTTAAAACCTACACTTGTGCCACACAGATGCATTCTCTAGCTGGCAGCATTTTACCCTTGACACTACCACTTATTACTTCTGTTTTCCCTAAATAAAAAGCCTCCTTTTTTCTGAACCAGTTACTTGCATCGAGATATCTAAGTCATGAAAGGACCCAGCTCCTACTCTCCTCTCTTGCATTTGCTAAATATAAACTAGAAAACTAGAGAAATTAACAATTTAATTTAATTAAGAGTAACTAATCCAACCTTCATATGAAAACTACGGGAAAAGCAACAATATACAGATATTCAAGTACAATTCTTTTAACTTTTAAGGAATTTATTGCTTTGGGGTTAAGTATAAAGCCAGCTAGTTGTATATCAGTTTCACTTACTGGATTTAAGATTGGCTGCTGACTTAAATCTAAGATCATGCTGAAGTAACAAAAGAGGCAGGAGGAGTTAATCCTTTCATTTATAGAGACAGTATTTTTTTATTTACATTTTTTCAGTCTCTATAGAAGCAATTTATAGAAGCAATTATTTATAGAGAATTAATTTGACATAGCTGCCATCAGTTTGTTCAAGATATGTCTAAATACTAAATACAAACGAATGAATGAGGGTAATTGAAATGCAGTCACCAATAAACCAGTAGTTTTGGTTCCTCATTTTTCTAGAGTTGGGCTGCTCTCCACCCACTTATGACTGGAATCAAGATACAGTAAATGATTCATCTAACATGGAGAAAGAATTTCTTGGGACACATTTTTAGAGGGTACCTAAGGGTATCTGGAAGATTTCTACACTCCAGTACAGATCAAGTTACCATGATCCTCACAACTTCAAATCCCTAATTCTATAAAGGATCCTGTAAATATACATTTAAAAAATATTTTTTAACACAGCAATTCAACCAACTTTTATTGCACTAAGTGCCAGGCATAATGCTTGGGACTTTTCAATGCTAGAAACTTCAGTTTTGTGAGTCGATATTCCCTACTCCAAAAAAGACAGTATAGAGATATATTATAAATAATTGAGAGATTTTTATGTTCCTCTATTAACTTGAACCCCTTTGTGAAATTTTAGTCTTGGATCTGCTGTATTTTGTTTTTGACATAAAAATATACTTTATTATTTTTTGCACATGATTAAGAACCCAATAAAAAGACCAGTGCTTGATCTGAAGAATAACTAAAGTCACGTACAGGAGACATTATATGACTTTCCTAAATATTCAATAGTGAACATGCATTGGATTTTCTCTGTAGTGAGAAATTTAGGCATATGTGCATGACATACACATGTATATATTCTCCCATTAAAATCCGGAGACATATGCATGTATGTATTTATCCCACTTTACAGTGTTCCCATCAAAATCTCAGTTTATGACCAGGTGAGAATCTGTACTCTCAGGAATTGGACTCAATGCTATCAGCTGCTTTTTCTTTTTTTTTTTTTAATGACCTCATATCATTCCTAAATGCAGTATCTATAGGAGGGGTAGCTGTGATAAATCAGAATAAAAGACAGAAAATCAATAGTGAAACTAGTCACACTACTCTTTCCTTCACTCTTCTAACACGTTACTTCATTACAGCTTCACTGGGAGCACGAAAAAGTACTTAGAAAATATGCCAAAATTCCACTTACTTGTGCTAATAAATCGGTGAAAACTTTGAAAAGTGAAATAATGATTTCGCTATGTTGTTTTGAGTATTATTGTGCTCTTGAGAATTCTATGCAAGAAATTTTGAGTAAAATATTTGAGTTTTACTTCTATGGGAGATTTTGAAACACTGATTATTTTCAAGTGTGAAATTATGGGTATCTTCCTGAGCAAAAATGATGGGTTTCTGAAAATAATATCCAGTAAGTGACTGCAGTATCCAGTATTTCAAGCAAAACTTCACAGCACAAATTCTGTGACTTGGAGGTTACTAAGAAACAGTCCCTTAGCATATTTTTTGACAGCTTTATTGAGGTATAACAGGCATAGAGGGAATGACACACATTTAAAGTACAGAATTTGATGAATTTTGACTTACACATACATTCTCAAAAGCATTGCCACAATCAAGATAATGGGTATAATCATAGACTAAAAGCTCTCCTTGTACCCTTATAATCCCTCTGTCTAGGCCCTCCTCATCCTACCCTGCCTTCCCAGGCAGCCACTGATCTGCCTTCTGTCACTGTAGATTAGTTTACATTTTCTAGAATTATATAGAAATTAATAGAAATGGAATCTACTACACACTTTTCTTCATCTAGCTTCTTTTAATCAGCATAATTAGACAGCAATGCATCCATAATTACATTGAATTTTTGCATTTAACAAAGTCATAGGTGGTTTTTATTAAAAAAAAATTTTTTTGCTTATATGATTTTCCTAAATATTCAATAGTGAACATGCATTGGGTTTTTCTCTGTAGTGAGAAATTTAGGCATATGTGTATGATATATGCATGTATATATTCTCCCATTAAAATCCAGAGAATAAAAACTCAACTGG